ATAAAATAATTTTTTAACCCGCGTCTGAACCCTCAGTCAAATCCTTTTTTAACCCTAGTTAAATCGATTTAAAAGTTAAACGGTCCCGATAAATTTGCAGCCTCCCCTTCCCTCTCTAGCGCTCACTTATTTCAAGTTTCTCTTCTTTCTCTCGAGCCTCGCGTCGCGTCTTCTTTTAGAACAACAGAGTAGAGAAGAGAGAGAGAGAGAGAGAGATAACGCATGCGAGCTCTCACCTGAGTTTGCAGCAAAAAACCGCTACTACCGAAGCACAATTCCTCCACGTGTTCGCCGGAAAATGACGGTCTTCTCCGGCAAGCAGGTGTTTCCAGTGGACTATGAGGCCGAGGTTTCTCAACGCCTTCTCGAAGCTTCGCTCTCCGGCGATCTGAAATCGGCGTTGGAATGTATCGCCAATCCGTTTGTGGACGTCAACTTCGTCGGTGCTGTCTGCCTCAAAACAAAGAAGACCGAGGTGTTATTGCGCGACGAATCGGCGAGCGAAGTCCGCGTCGACTACGAGGAGTTCAAAACCGACGTCACGGCTCTTTTTCTCGCTGTTCATGCTGGAAGTGTAGCTTTGGTGAAGAAACTACTGGTATGTGATTGAGGCTTTGGTTTTGGTTCGTGTTTTGTCAGATCACTGCGGTTGAAGTTGAGATTTGAAATGTTTTATACACATTGTTGATTCTTCTCCGATTTTGAAAGCATTTTGTGCTCGAATTGATTTATGAAAAAAAGTATTTATGCTTTTATAAGTTTTTTTTGTTCTCATTGTAGAATTTGAACTGCATTTGAAGTTTTCGTCTGCTGAATTCAAGGATACTGGCCTATTCACATCTCACATTTTTTGCTGATTTGCAAGCATTTTGTATGTGTTAAGAAAGAGAAATGTTTTGTACGTTTTCTAAGAAATTTTCGATCCATCATTTCCCAATTTTTGTTACAGTATATTGTGGGGAGAACTTCACGGAGTTCTTTGTCTGCTATGCATATTTGCTCGGAAACTCAAAAAATTACTGCTAAACCATTCTTTTAATATTTGAATTATGCTGGAGTACTGATATCAAGAAATTTTTAAAGCCTTTTATGATTTTTTGGTTATTTATTTATTTATACAAGCTTTAAGAATTTTAAATCCCCCTGCTGATTTCAAAGGTTTGGAGGAAAAGAATTAGGATTCGAAATTTATTTATTTATTCTGGGGGAATATTGTGTTCCATAGAAAAGTTGTTGAACTCTTTGATATCAATAATGTGTCATTGTCGTTATTGCCTGTCGATCTCACACAAAATGCAACATTAACTCATTGAAGTCTTTGAAAGACGTCTGCTACAGTTACAGGGGAATTGTTTTTTTTTTTTTCACCTTGAAATTCACTTGAACGGAGAAGTCATTAGTTTCTGACCGTTCTTTCTCTACGCTTTAGAGCCAAAAGTTTATGTTGTTTTGTTATTTGGACCTTACAAAAAAATAAAAATTATTATTATTATTATTTTGTCTTTGCTTAGTTGGGTATTTGTGTTTTCTTTGATTCTATATCATAATTAACGACCTGCTAAAAGAAATGAGATACACACGTGACACGACACGACTGATAAATACATAAGTTTTGGAGATAGCTTAATTAGTGGCCTTGAGACCCCATATCGAGTTGTCTCAAACTCTCTGTTCCGAGCCTGAGGTAGATAATTATGTGGATATTATAGATCCCCCTTTCCCTCATATTAATGAACTGTTTGTTGAAAGCTCCATGCTTCTTTCACTATCACATCAGATTTGTTCCCCCATTTTGTCTGCACGTGTTCCATGACCTTTCGTAATCGATGAAGAAACCAAAATACCTACTAATGTACTAGATTTGATCTCTTCTTCTTGACTTTTGTAAAGATTATGAGGAAATTAAAGCGAAGAAAATAATAGATAGATGGAATAGTATTATGTCATCTCTTCCTTTGCAACTTACGGAGGATTGGTATTTTTCTCAAATTACAGAGCGTTGGAGCTGATGTAAATCAGAAACTCTTCAGAGGCTTCGCGACAACGGCAGCAGTGAGAGAGGGCCACCTTGAGATTCTAGAGATCCTACTGAAAGCTGGAGCTTCTCAACCAGCTTGTGAGGAAGCTCTGTTGGAGGCAAGCTGTCATGGACATGCCAGGCTCGTGGAGCTGCTTATGGCTTCTGATTTGATCCGGCCCCATATTACTGTGCATGCTATTGTCACAGCAAGCTGCAGGGGGTTTGTTGATGTGGTGGACACTTTCATGAAGGTAGAACATCATATTCATTTTACCATAATTTGAGACAAGTAGATATTCTGTTGAAGGGTAAATCATAAAATGATTTTCTAGTAATCATATATAGGTGAACTGATCTAATAATGTCCGGATAGGCTTGGTGAATGAATAGTGAATTAATCCTATTATGGTTATTTAATCAGTTTTATTAGTATGATAACATTGTTCTTCTTGCTCAACGGCAGTGTGGTGTGGATGCAAGTGCAGCGGATAGGATGCTGCTTCAGTCATCTAAGCCGTCGCTGCACACTAATGTTGACTGTAGCGCACTTGTAGCTGCAGTTGTTAGTAGGCAGGTCTCGATTGTTCGTTTGCTGCTACAGGTGACTTGCACTTCAATTTCAGTTTCGCTTAGTTTAAAACAATGTTGGTGCGCAATCAAATATGACCCTGAAAGCCATAAATTAGGAGTAGTAGAAAAGTAAATTTCAATTGAGATTCCAATAAGAGTAGGCCCCTATCCCCCCCTTGTGCATTAACTGTGACAGCTGGATTTGTACCTTTCAATAGCGATAGAGTGGTACACATTTCTATGATTGCAATAGGATCTAAACAGAAAATGATTTTGATTCTATGTATCTTCTGTCAGGACAGTAGTATTGTTACTGTTCTATCTTCTAAAATTACTATTGTACGTATTTTTTTCTTTTCACACCACATGACTAACAGCCATCGTTTGTTCTTTGTTTCAAAATGGAAACAATAGGCTGGTTCGAGGACAGATGTGACAGTGACGCTGGGAGCATGGTCATGGGACACAGCCACAGGGGAAGAATTGCGGGTAGGGGCAGGACTGGCAGAGCCTTATCCCATTACCTGGTGTGCAGTGGAGTATTTTGAAGCAAGTGGTTCTATCTTGCACATGCTCCTCCAACATATTTCCACTGATACCCCTCATTGTGGAAGAACTCTCCTGCATCATGCTATCCTATGTGGTAATGTAGGAGCCGTTCGTGCGCTCTTACGTTGTGGTGCCAATGTAGAATCACCTGTTAAAACAACTGGAAAGACGATGTTTAATCCAATACACATGGCTGCCCGGCTTGGTTTGTCAACAATTGTTCAGTGTTTAATCGACTCTGGATGTGATATAAACTCCAAGACAGATTCTGGTGAGACAGCTCTAATGATCTGTGCAAAATATAAGCATGAAGAGTGTCTCAGAGTATTGGCCATGGCTGGTGCTGATTTTGGTTTGGTTAATGTTGCTGGTCAGTCCGTCAGCTCAATTCCCGGGACAAATCGCTGGTCCCTTGGTTTTCAGCAAGCGTTGATACTTGTTATAAGAGCTGGAAAGATACCAAGGTCCAGCAACTTTTCTGTGTTCTCTTCCCTAATGTTTGCAGCTCAAGCTGGTGACATGGAGGCCTTGAAAGCTGTAGTTGGTTCAGGAGAATTTGACATTGATTATCAGGATGATAAAGGTTTCTCGGCAGTCATGATCACTGCTTTAAAGGGTTACGTGGAAGCATTCCGGTTGCTGGTTTATGCAGGGGCTGATGTAAAGTTGTGTAACAAGTCTGGTGAGACTGCAATTACGCTATCTGAATTAAGCCAAAACCGTGACCTATTTGAGAAGGTAATGCTCGAATATGCACTAGAAAAGGGCAATCGCTATGCTGGAGGGTTCTATGCTCTGCATTGTGCAGCACGTCGCGGGGACATTGATGCGGTCAAATTGTTAACAAGTAGAGGCTACGATGTGAATGTCCCTGATGGAGATGGTTACACTCCACTCATGTTAGCGGCTAGGGAAGGCTATGGTCCCATGTGTGAACTCTTGATCTCTCATGGGGCAAATTTGGATGAGAAGAATGCCGAAGGCGAAACACCACTCTCACTAGCAAGGAAGAGTGGTTGCGGTACCAAAAATGACGCGGAGTGTGTGATACTGGATGAGCTTGCTCGCAGGGTGGTGCTAGGTGGAGCCCATGTTTGGAAGCATACCAAGGGAGGGAAAGGAAGCCCTCATGGGAAAGAGATGAGAATGGTGGGAGCCATAGGGGTGCTGCGCTGGGGGAAGTCGAACCGGAGAAATGTGATATGCCGGGATGCAGAGGTGGGGCCCAGCCCAGCTTTTAGGAGGAATAGGAGGAGCAAGAGTGATGCGGATGAAGCTGGAGTGTTTAGGGTGGTGACTACGAAGAACAAGGAGGTGCATTTTGTGTGTGAAGGTGGGGTTGAAACCGCTGAGCTTTGGGTGAGGGGCATAAAGCTTGTGACAAAGGAGGCTATTTTGGGTAATAAGAGGGAGTCATGAATGGTGGTGACTGGTGAGAGGATAGCGTCAGAGAAGCAGTAGGGTGTATAAATGTTTTCTAGAATACTTCGTCTTGAAGTATTTAGAAGTAGAGTTGTTTCTGGTTATTGTAAATGTTTTGATCCCTCAGTTGTAAATGAGTTCATTTCTCGTCGTAAGGGACAATGGATATCTAGCATCCGATAGATTTCGCTTGTTCACTAAATGGCTTCCTCTTTAACTTCCAGCGAGTCAATGAGTGTCCAAAGGTTTTCAAATTTCAAACTAACGACGCCATAAATCTTTAATAGAGATCTAAAGATAAAAATATTATTATGGTAGCGAGATTGAAGAACCAAGATGTAAGCAAACCAAAATAATTGAGACGAGGCTATGTTCTGATTTCGAATGGCAACTTCTACACTGAGAATACGTTGGATCCTTTATGCATGGCGGCTAAATCTCCGAAACCGTTTAAATGAGCTCACTTTATCATAAGTTGAAACATCAATATCGCATAATAATAATTATCATGAGTTGAAACATCTATGTTCTGATTTTGAATGGCAACTTCTAAAGGACTCTTCTACAAAAACAAATTGAGGTATAGCTCTTCCGGAATGGAGGTGGGGCCTTCCGCCAATGAATATTAAAACACAGAGACAAAATACCACCTTTTAGCCTGCACTGATCTCCTTCTCCTTTGCCTTGCACAAGTCCTCTGCTGTCTTCACAAACTTTTTAGTCAACTCCTCAACCTGGAAAATGTAGCCATTTCGAAGAACCAATGAGCAATAAAAGTCGCCTAATATTAACTTAGGAGCAGTTAGCTTATAATTTAGGGCTCACCTCTTTCTCCAATCTTTTTAAGTCGTCCTTTGGGTATCTTGAATACAACTTTTTTATTGTATCCATTGCCTGTAATAGAAACCAACAATCTATTAAGTCACACAGCCGGAAAGCTGCAAACACATAGAATTCGTTCGTACTCACATATCAAGGGTAATCCTTTTGCAACCCCTAACATTGTTTTGGTCCTCAATACTACAAATGATACATTTCTTCATGGAACCACCAGACTAGAGAGCAGGAAACTAAAGATTTAATCATAACTAAGGCATCTTTTTTGCTACTGCTATATGCTTCTAGGATTGAGAGATTCCAGATACTGAATGCGTGAAAAGTATTGCTATATTTCTCTGTCTTGATGCTTGGTGAATATCAAAATAACAAAGAAGAATCTCGCAGTCACCTCAATTGCAATATTTTTTACCTAGAAATGATTTGAACCTGCCAAAAATGTGTTAGCAGAAAGAAGGAAAAAAAATTGACTTTAAGTTACCTTTTGGCGAGCTCTTCTTATACTTAGTCTGCCATCTTCACAGGACTTGGTAACCACTTTACATACAGCCTGGTAGAATATGTTCAATGATAAGACATAGTAGTTATCAGACACGACAAAAAACAGAGAGGGCAAAAGCAGTTAAAAGTCACCTGAACATGCTCTTTGGTCAATCTGGCCATCACAAAAATTAGAAAAAGATACATTAGTCAAGCAATCAAACAATTGGCCAAGAACAACTTAGCTTGGAGAATATGAAAACTAAAAGAAAACATCAAGTGTATTTCTTAAGGTTTTTTCACCAGCCTTCATAAGAAAATGTGCACCGAAAATTCATAACACCATGAGTTACAATCAGATGTGTGCTTACGGAGGAATAGCTGCAATCAATCGATCCCCATCCACTTTAGGATTTAACCCCAAGGCAGATTCAACAATGGCAGTCTCCAACTTCTGTAAGGCCTGCAAGCTCATGTTTGGAGCCAAATATAAATATTTGAGAAACAAACTGCAATTAAGATATAGCAAGTTCACAATATAAACTATAACAGAAAGTTATAAAAAACGCATCCCCTCATTACATTTGGATCAAAAGGGTTTATTGACAATGTTTTCGAATCCAGTACTGAAACAACGGCTATCTGACTCAGGGGCAGCTTGACGCCACCGGTTTCCACAATAATGTGGTCAAGCAGCGATTTGACAACCGGGAAATTGAGAATGTACCCGGAGATGCTCTTCCAGTTCGTAGTTTGCTTAATTCTGCTGACAATGCTGTAATTGCCGCCTCCATTTGCGAGGTCGTGTTTGCCTTAATGGTTGGCCCCATATTTGGCAAAACTTCAATTGTGCCCGCAGCGGAGTCATCTTCTAAAAATGTGAAAATCATAGAAAAGGAGTGAAATTTAGAAGGTTGCATATGAAAAAATATATAATTTTTGTGCCGCTAAACCAAACAGTATCTTCGATTCTTAGATATCATATATTTGGTTTTGTACAGTAAGAGAGATAGGAAAAGAGAGTACTTGATTTATTGCGGCCTTTGGCAAAGCCTCTGCGACTTTCTTTGACGAATTCAAGAGCGGAATGAGACAGAATTCTCTGCGGTGCCTCGGATTTGCACTGGAAGAGCTCGCGACCGACAATCGCAGAGCTTCGAAGGAGAAGGACGTTTCGGAATGAGAGTGCGCGTCTCAGAAAGATCGCCATGGCTGTAGCTCTCTAGGGTTTTAGATTTGATAAACCCCGCGCTGTGAGGCCTGAGACTTTGGGCCTCCAAGCCTTGGTTTTGGTTTCGGACTTTAGAATATTACACGATACGACGACGTTTTATCCGTTAAATTTAGGATAATCAGGCTTTTAAGCTAATTGCAGCAGAATTTGCACGTGGTACCCTGTGGAACAACACACACTGACTCGCTCACACGCACACAGCATATCCAAACACAAGAGAGGCCAAGACCCACTCTTCGCCCTCGCTCTTCTTCTCTTCAGCCCAAGACTCAAAATTTAATAAGATTTTGGTTGTTTTTTGGCTGAGTTTGAGCTGAAAATGGAAGCTTTCTGTGCCATTCGCCCTGCCTACTTCGCGGATCCACTGAAAGTAGATTTCAGCACCACCAGGTACTTTCCTCTCCCTTAAGTCTCAAGTTCTCAACTGAATTAATTGGAGAAGAACATACTGGCAAACTGTCTTTACCAATTGGAATATGTAAATGGTGCAATTTCCATGGTTCAAGCTTCAAGTTGACGTATCACTATCCTCTAAAGTTTGTGAGGTTAAAGCTGATATTTTTGTTCATAATATTATATGAATAGAGATTTTCAAGACATTTTCAAGTTGATTATATAATGGGATTGTGATAATATTATAGTTAAAAGGAGGACTAGTGGGCTGGTTAGTATGTTGGCAACAGCAGACAGAGATGTAGTAGGCACGCTGAGGATAGATGGGTAGAAAAATGAAATATGTATTGGTCATTGGTGGCTTGGTGCACCAATTAACTTGTATATGGTGGAAAGTAGACTAAGGATTCAAATCATTTCGTTTTTGTGGTCGGGATCTTTCGGGATTGCAAGCTTGAAGGGTCCAATGTGATTAGGTAGATTTTGATAGACTCGAATTATGGTGTTATTTGTTAGCTACTTCCTGCCAAGCCTTTGAGAGACTCAGCACTGAACATGTGCTATCTCTTTCTATCTTCCTCCAATTTCTCTTTTGTTTCACTATCTTTTTTATTAGTCATGAGACGGAAATTGATTTCGATCCATTTTTTTTCAGGACTAGAATTACTTTCCCCCAGAAACTCTTTTTCTGTCGAGCGAAGTTTGGTAAGCAATTGGTAAAACGTTTCTCTAATACAACTTTCGTAGTACAATGCCAACTACAACTTTTGCACACAATTGATCTATTTTTCTTGAAAATTTGACAAATATCTTTCAACACTTGTACAGCTGACTCAGGGATAGATGGCTCATTTAGCTTAAAACTGGTATCTCCAGCCCTTTTAGCAGCTGAAAAAGAAGAAGCTAGGGCTGTCCTAACCTTGTTCTTGAAGAAACAAGGCCTCAGCCATACAGTTGCTGCAAGAACCATAAACAAGTCAGACCTTTTTGTGGAGCACCTGATCTCTAGGCTTCATGCTGTTCATAAATCCCGGTATCTAGTAGGTTCGAATTCAACATATTACTGCTTCTCTCTGGACCTAGCTTACATATTTATTGTAAGCTCTAAATTGTTTAATCAAATCTTCTTGCAGGACGAGAGCTAACAACTCTTGAGATTAGGGAGGCTCTAATCCCTTACCTCGAATCCCTTCTTGATGAGCATGGAGTTTTTCTGGTAGATTTGGTGGAAAGCTTTCCAAATGCACCTGTAAAAGAAAAGCCAGTTGCACCAGTTACTAAATCTCAATCGTCTGTGGATTTAAAGAAGCTAAAGGCCATATCTCGAGTAAGTGAAATTGGCCCAGCTGGGAAGCTCCCACCTCACATTCTCTACCTTTTAGAGCTTGGCATGGATCTTGATCAAATCAAGGGAATTGCGCGCAGATTTCCATCTTTTGCCTATTATAGTTTAGAGGGGAAGATAAAGCCAATTGTTGAGTTTCTTCTCGAACTTGGGGTGCCAAAATCTGATATTCCTACAATTCTTAATAAGAGGCCTCAGCTGTGTGGAATCAGTCTATCTGAAAATATCATACCTACCATGAATTTCTTAGAAGATCTGGGTGTGGACAAGAAACAATGGGCAAAAGTGATATACCGGTTTCCAGCGCTTCTCACTTATAGTAGGCCGAAGGTGAAGACGACCATAGATTTTCTATATGAAATGGGCCTTTCAGCCGAGCTCATAGGTAAGGTTTTGACACGCTGCCCGAACATTATAAGTTACAGTGTAGAGGACAAGTTACGGCCAACAGCTGAGTACTTTCTCTCATTGGGGGTGGATGTTGCTGTTCTGCTCCATCGTTCTCCCACGCTTTTTGGTCTCAGTATTGAAGCCAACTTGAAGCCTGTAACAGAATTTTTCTATGAGAGGGGATACAGTATGGAGGAAGTTGGGATCATGCTTTCAAGATATGGAGCATTATATACTTTCAGCTTGGCAGAGAATTTGATACCAAAATGGGAGTTCTTTTTGACCATGGATTATTCAAAATCAGAGCTGGTTAAATTCCCTCAATATTTTGGCTATAGTTTGGAAGAAAGGATTAAACCAAGGTATGCACTAATGAAGGAATGTGGAAAATAAAGAAATTGTCTGCTGGAAAAGATCCAAATATCTGCAGTGATGATCTTACATCGGAGGTTGAACAATGAAAGTTCTGAGCAAATATTGTAACAATACAGGACGCGCATGCACAATATGAGCACTGATGCAGTACAGGTGCCACATTGAAGCTAAAAATGGATGTGCTTTCACTGGGGAATAGAGTCAATATATCGTTTCGAAAGTTGGATAATGTATGTGATTCTTCTCACCTGCGCGTGCAGACAGTAGATATTCGATTGTTGTCAAATTTTCTTCAAGTTTCAGGAGGGAGTTGTATCTGTTGCTACTTGCCGAGTGACATCCTCCAAATGAATGAAGAATCATCTGCCATCCTAACTCTTTTGCCTGGTTGACCTCTTTTATGACTCTTTGTATTTGCCAGGTTTTTCTATTCTAAACTCCTGGGTTTGGAAAGCTGGTAGAAACTTGCTCTGTCCTGTTACAATTTTTTTGTACGTTGTAGTTCGGATTATTATTACTTTTTAGATCCAATCCAATTACTCTAATCTTAGTTTTATGTTTCCTTGTAAATGAATACCATTGTCCAGAGAGAAGCTTTCATATTCTGTCTGGGCGGTTCCCTTTTGGTTTTGAAAATGCATTTGCACATAAATCATAGTTAATATGTTTGCTCATTTCGTTTGGCCAATGGGTGCAGGTGCAGCCTTGGTCCTTGCATGATGGTCTGGTTTTAGTTGAGGGTGGGTTGACACGTCGTTTGGCTCTTTTACTCGTGTCAGTATAATGATTTATGGTGGATTAAAATTTGAATATATGCATGTGGATGTGGGGTGGCATTTGCCAGTTAATTCACAATCTTTATCTTCTTGGTCTTTGACATATCTCATATGTGTTGTCTTTTCCCATTTTGGCATAAACCAAAGTTTTTAACTTTTTTACAAATTCAAGTTCATTGCATATTTGTGCTTTAAATGTGTAATTACACCAGACCCAAAAAAGAAAATAACACAATTTTTAAATGAATAATATTACTATTATCATATTTGTATACCACATTTTCATACTACTTTATGTGGCAGATAAGATGTACAACCACGTCAATTAAAAAATAACTCTATACAATGTATTTCCCTTCAAAAGTCCAATACTATTACTGAATTACAAAAATAATAATAGTAAGTCATACAAATTTGGTACCCCACCAAATAAATATGGGAAATAGACTGTCACCTACCAAAGAAGCCAAAATGAAAAGTAATTAATTAACATCATCTAATTTTTCATGGACTAAAATAAGTTTATAATCCTTGGTACTTTTTATTTTTAAAATAAGTGTTCTTTCTAGAATACGGAAGTGGTATTACGAGTTCGCTTAAATTATAAAAAATATTAACACCTCTATACACGTTATATAGCTAAATTTAAATTAAATTTATAAATATTAAGCAGACATACGATGTAACATTACCATCCTAAAAATAAGTTTTAGGTAGTCTAGTATGAAAATTTGACATAAACCATTCATAGAAAAGATATTTGCTATAATCATATCTTTATCATTAACTTCCATCTTTTCTTTTCTGATACAGTTTGTTTTTCAATCCGCTTGATTTGTAATCTCCAAAAATATGACGTGGGTTGAATTGAATGTGCCTAAATTTTTAAATTGGGCCTGGGAAAAAAAGGAAAGAAAAAGGTTTTGCCTAATTTGTTTACTTATATTTTTGTTTTGTTTTGTTTTTTTTTCGGTCTGAGACTTACAGGGCACACTACACTACAGCAATCGACCGTTTCTTGTTATTTCTTAAGGACCTCCTTCCCTCCCGTGGACCCTGGCATTTGTTTGCAGTTAGCAGTTCGTGCGTTTCTTTTCCGTTTATCTCCGAAATAAGTGAGAAGAGGAACCAAATCACAGAGAGAGTGAAAAAAGCTAAAGAAAGCCAATTGGAAAAAGGGCATGTTCTACTCACAGTGCCTCCTATCAAGGAAGGGGCCTTTGGGCGCCATTTGGGTTGCCGCTTACTCTTTCAAAAAGCTCAAGAAGGCGCAGGTCACTCAGACTGACATCTCCTCCTCTGTTGGTTCGTTTCCTTATCTCTTCGCCGTCTTTCTCATGGTTTGCTTCCCTTTGGTTGACATTTGAAAGAAATGAGGGGAAAATCACAACAAAACCATAAATTTTTGCAATGGGGTTTTTTTCTTACAATATTTGAGCACACATTTTTTGCTAACTTTTCTCTGATTGTTTCTCCAAAAACCAAATAGTGTTTCTCTTTTTCTGTTTTTTTTCTTTCTCTTTGGGGCTTCTCTGTTTCTTTCGTTTTTAATAAAATTAAAAATATTCATGTGCGGGCAGCGGGTGTTGTTAGAAGAGTGCTAGGAAGATTTTCTTTTTCTATTATGGAAAGGGATTTTCTCTTCACGGGTATTCATATTTGGTGGCTTAATTACGTTGTATTTGCTCTGAAATACATTAATTTTGTAACCTGGTTTCTGGGTTTGCCATTAGTTACTGTTATCAACCATCTAGCCATTTGTTGGACCCGCTTAGTTGCTCCATAATTCAGGTTTCTGGGTTTGTCATTAGTCATTGGCTGTTTTGCATAAGAAGTTGTAAGAAGAAGACAGAATTTTCTGTGAAAATGTTATTCTTTTGCTGGTTACCAGGAATACCTCTTCATGTTATTTGACATTGAGCCTGAAATATCTTTAAACCCTATTCTCTTGGTGCAGATAAAATTTTGCACGATGAATGGGATGTTGTTGCATACAGGGTTCTCGCCTACCTTCTTCTTGGTGTCGTTCGAATATACTCGAAAAAGGTTGAATATCTGTTCAATGATTGCAATGAAGTGCTGATTAAAATCAACAAATTTGTGGTTAGTACAAAAAAGAATGCAGATGCAGACAAGCTGCGGGCGCCTTATTACTCTGTTACTCTACCGGATAGATTTGAACTTGATGCTTTTGATCTGGGGATCCTTGAAGTTGAAGATGTCAATGGGTAAGCTGTGTAGCTTAAAAAACCTTATGAGGATATTACCGTATGTAGTTCTCATATTTAACATGTTTGCTTCCCTTACTTCCCAGATGCAATGTGGTGTCCCATGAAGATATCACACTTAAAGGTATTAAATGTTTGGTCCTTAATACTATTCACTTAATTTTATTTGTATAATTTTACACGATTCGGCATGATATGAAACAGATTGTGCAAAGGGGAATGGAATTGGACAGTTTTATTCAGAAATGGTATGTCACATGGTCATTCTAATGTTTATCTATTTTGTCAGTTTTTTCAGCCTAATATGCATTCTTTCTTTTCTTGTTCTGCTGAACTTTTCGTGGTATTAACTTATCTCCTTTCAGACCCTAAGAGACATTCATTTTCTTATGACAATTAGTTCTTAATGATTTTCTAAATTTCCTGCCTCGTAAGAATTTTCATATGTTTGATAAAGTTTCGTCCAGAATATGCACCTAAGGTGTCAGTTTGTGTTTGTGCAGTATGGTTATGAGGAATTTGGTGTCTGTGACAATATTTCGTCTGCTGATTTCACCCCAATCAAAGAGTACGTATAACCATTCAAGATGCTCGAACTTTTCGAATACTTTCCTTTAATCTTATTTTTGACAAGTATTTCTTATTTCAGTGTACTTTCATCTTACATGTTGGACTTTGACATGGAGTTCAGAACATCAAGTAATGGAGCCAACTCAGAAGCATTTATGGAGAAGCTTCAAGAGAATAGCTTCTCTCAAGAAGAATGCGCAGATCTAGAAACATTTTGTGGAGTTCAGGAAGAACCTCCAAACCAAGTTGTTTCATATGGAGAAGATCAAGAAACTAATAGAGAGCAGATAAAGGCTCCAGATATAGCACCGTCTGAAGATGGAATTCAAGGAGAATCAAGCATGGAAAAGCCTCGAGACCTTATGTTGTCTCAGGAAGGTTTGAACCTTGAGACAGTCTATGGGATTGAGAGAGAACCTTCCTACTATGTTAGATCATCCAGTGAAGATCATCAAATTGATCGTGAGGAGATTATGGAACCAGAGTTGGTGCAACCAGAAAATCAGACGTGTCAGGTTATAAGACAAGACAATAATCTAATTGCCTCAGAAGCTAATATGGAAAAACTGCTAAGATGTACAGTTTCTCAAGAAGAGTACATGGACCTTGATATGTTTCTTGGGGCGAAGCAATCTCGAGAACTTGTTTGTTCATCTGGTGAAGAGAATCATATTGACAGAGAGCCAATAAAATTGCCAGAGATGAGTTCGCCAAAAAGTATAGAACACCAAATTATTGTGCAAGAAGATCCAGATCCTCTCTCTGTTGAATATGATGGAACTCCTGGTGCCAAGTTCCCCAGTGCCTTAGGTGCATACTTCTCAACAAAGGAATTTAATGTTATGTTTCTTTTTACCTCTTAAGTATTCAATTCCTATAGTTGTTTAGGACTTTAAAAAGAGTTGCTTTAGCACCTTATATACAGAGTTGGACGTTAGTTTTTCTTAGTCAAATACTGTTCTGAGTTCCATCTTTTGCTTTGTAATATATATATATAAAATCAAAATTTCATGTATGCTTAACAAGTTTGTCCTAAATTATTTATCATAATGCAGGTGTTACTACACCAAAGTTGATGGTTATTCGTACACCAGCTACTAAGGAATCTGCTCGAATTTCTAGGAAAAGAAAATGTGTCATTGATGATATGACAGTGCTGCCTAATGAGTACGTGATGGTTTACTGTCCCTTTACATGTGTTAAATTGAAGTGTTCCTGTTGTATTTATTTGTAGAAATCTAGGCTAGAAATTATTTCTAATTTTATCCATAAAAGTTAAAATGACATTTGGAGCATCCGTCGTTATATTTGAAATAACATCCTTTCAGACACTTTGGATTTTAATTATGTTTCAATGGATTATAAGTTGACCAAGGAATAAGAAACCGTAACATAAAATTTCACAGGGTAATCCGGCGAAGCATACATGATGCAGGTGACCTGGTTTCTAAAAGAAGAAAAGTTCCTCAAACTGCCCTTGCTGTTTGGAAAGCCTGTCAAATTGGAATTCTAACCCATGATTTCTCGGAGCCATTGCTACCTGGTAATTTCCTATCGTTATTTACTTTCTGGTTCATCAGTTGTGGAACCGCTGCTAACCGCATTTGCAGCTGGTGTTTCACAAGAACTTAAATCCCTGTCCTGCAAAAGGAAATTAAAGATTATAGAACCTGCTGAAACTGTTGGAACTCCAGAAAAGTTAGATGTGTTGGAATCTCCAAGTGTTGGTAGGTCAGAGCAAATAGAAATTGCACCAGAAACACCTGTTCGTCGCTCACAATCAATGAAATCATTTGAGAGTCCAAACAGCCCTGAAGCTCATGATGTGGATATAGTAAGACCTGAGCCATCTGGAAGGATAGAGGAAGAGCCATGCCTGAGCAGGGAGCAAGCTGACCCACCTGAAAGTTTAGAAGAAGTACCATTTCTGGACAGGGATATATTAGGACCTGGGCCATCTGGAAGGATAGAGAAAGAGCCATCCCTGGGCAGGGAGCAAGCTGACCCATCTGGAACTGTAGAAGAAGTACCATGTCTGGGCAGGGATCAAGAACATGATTTCAATCTGCTGAATGAGGTAAAGTAATGATTACTATGGAATTTTATTGTAAGAAAAGCATCTACAAGAAACGATTAGATGCTTTTCTCAGATACTACCTGTTGATAGACATGTAGATAAGTCAATGTTAGTAACTTAGTATAGAGCATAGCCATCCTGGAAATCTTTCTATTTGTGGTACTCAGACAAGTGAATGCACATGACAAGCTCGCTTTTACTATTGAAGGTCTGAAACAAGCATGTATGATATTGATGCTGCTACATCATATTATTTTGTTTCTCATTTGTTCTGGAATTGATTATGTCTCTTTAATTCTTTTTAATCTTGCCTCAGGAGATTGCTTTATGCGAAGGAGTTAACCCTGAAGTTGGTAAGAGGCTCAAATTGATTTCATTAAGCTAGCTTTTGTTTGATTTGCATTTTTTTTTTTTTGCAATCCTGAACTCTGAAACTTATTTTTGTTGTAGATGGATGGTCAGGAAGAACCAGGTATGGTGGATTTGCCCTCTTGAAATTCTTTTGGCATAAATGTCAGGGCTAATAGTTTTTCTTATACCAACTTTTTCTTTAATAACAACTTGTGCATACAGAGTAGTTGCAAGGTACTTGCAGAGACACTTTCCGAATCGTAAAAAACAAGGAGAGGAGGAAGTGAACTTGTTGCAGGTTTCAGAAGGAAGAACTAAGAGAGAAAGTGCAAGGCTATTTTATGAGATACTGGTATGATCTATCTGTACTATGTGGTTTAGAATCTTCATTTGGCTTCGTCATGAGTTTGGGTCATTTTATGGTGCATCTTCCAAATTCATGAGCCAGCTGCTTCTTTCTTCTTTTAATGTTGCTGTACAGAAACTTATCCAATGAACCCCAAAATTCTTACGTCCAAACATGCAGATCAGAACCTGATAGTCCCGTGTGTAATACATTATTGAATTTTTTTCATTTATTTATTTATTTATTTTTGCAGGTGTTGAAAACTAAAGGGTACGTGGATGTGAAGCAAGATGATGCGTATGGTGATATTCTGATCTGGAAACGCCCCATCTGGGACCAAACGTGGGGAGACGATATGGTTAACAGAGGCGCCTCTAAAACTATGTATTTATGCGCATAGAATTTTCTGTGCTGCATAAATTGTATACCACCAGAGTAGGTTTTTTTTTGTACAAAGTTAATTAGTCGTGTAAAGTTTAGCTTCTATTTTGAGTGGCTTTTCCTTGGAACAATGTCAGAAAGACGGGCATGTGATAATGCCCCCAACAAAATCAAGTTTCAAAACTTTAATCTTTTTTGAAGCTCCAATTCTATAAACCCATCACCATTTTTTTTCTTCAGATTTTCACAAATAAATATGTCCAACGGTAGATGTTTGAAATTTTACCAGTGCTTTATTTATACTTCAGTGGTGCCAATGGAGTTCATTTTTTTCTTTTTTTGGTAGACAAAAACACCGAATGGCTATTTTCCATATGGATTTGGTGGATTTCACAAATTAGGTGCAACTCAATTACAAGCACTTTTTACCACACCAGAATCAGCCACTCACGTTAACACATGAGAATCATAATATTTCACAAAAACAATGGGAAAAGCAAAAAAGTCGTGCAAGAACTGGAAAGACGCACAAACAAGAGTCATTTGATTCATCTGAACTCAAACTCTTACAGAAGAAACCAAATATAAAGTCTAATCACTTGAAGATCCATCGTTATCATTTTCATGCTCAGTCACAACTTTTTCTATAAACCTCTTGCGAACCCCGTCGATCACAGCTTTCCTTGCCCGGCCATTTCCACTCTGCCCATCGTTCAGCACAGGATCTGATTGGCAGAGAACTAATGCCACACCTGATAATATTCAGTAAAAATCCATTAAAAACAGTTTGTGAACATTGGTGTTGAAGTTTATGCTCCACTTCTCCACAGTCAATGTGCTAAAAAATACCCAACTGAAGGTCAAAGTGAAAATACCTTCAGGTGTGCATCTCCGGCCAAAGCTTCGCAAGCCGACGTGATTTGCTTTGACAGCACCACTGTTGTACACCAAAACAGTGGGAACGTTACGATCTGGGTAATTTAGGATGCAGTCGGTGGATATTATCTTCACAAATTTGGTAGCTGGGTATTTCGAAGCCAAATCTTCCAAGCATTGCATCAGCACCCCACATTCCGCAATTCCTTCTTTGTACAGAATCACAACCACCCAAACATCAGCCGGAGCTTGCGAAACCTCTCGCACGAAATCTGATCCCGAAATCGGCACAACCGATCCAAACCTCGCTACCTTAGCTGTTTCTCTCAACTCAGCCAGCCTCTTCTTCCTATATTCTTCGAGGAAGCGATCGTCGTCCAGATCGGGATTGTCTTCGAGGTCTTCGAGGTCCTGCTCGGTCTTTTCATCGATCCAGGATTTGTCTTTAGGAAGAGAGGCTTGATCACTGGCCGGAGTGAAAGGTGCTGGCTTGAACGCCGGTGGTTTCGATGGTAGGTTCCCTAGCTTTCTCTGTATGTCATCCCACTGCGTCGATGCTCCTTCCACGTCCTTGTACACAAAGTGATAGTCCGCCATTCTCTCTCTCTCTCTCTCTCGAATTTTCCTTAACGTTTAGAGGATTAAAACTAGGGAGTTCCTAAAACATCCAAAATAGGGACTGAAATTATAAAAAAACTCAACACTCAAAATACTTTATAAACACACACAAAACTCATCATTACACACACTCAAAATTCATTTATAAACACATCTAAAAAATATACAATTGTTGATTTTGAGTGTGTTTCTATGTTTAAATAATAGTTAGATTTTTTTATAAATACATGTCTAGAATTGAGTTTATTTATAAATTTGTATTAGAACAACAGTGACTAAAGTTGTAAAATAGGTGAACTACGTATCTCAAAAATGACTTTTTACCCTTATTATTATTATTATTATTATTATTATTATTATTATTATTATCCTAATATCCGAGTTTTATTAATCGAACCGGACACTCAGCTCCGCGAAAGCGACGAGTCGATCCCCGTCCGTTCTTTGCGTTTTTAAAGCGACTCGTATATACACCAAAGCCAGAACGAGCTCTCGAAGCTTTTTCTCTCTTCTCTGCTCCCGGTACGTAGAAATAGAAAGCTCGGCCTAAAACCATGGACGCTGTACAAGCTCTGGTGGCGAATATCCAAGGGCTATCGAGCGCTGGGGACATCTCGCACCTTCATGTTGTTCTGAAGCAGGCGCCGGACTCGCTCTACGCCGAGTCGACTCGATTACTTCCTGTTCTGGACCAACTTGACCCCTCCAAACACTCTCTCGGATACCTCTACATCCTGTGAGCCTCTTCTTCACTCTAACAATACCGTTTTTTTCTAATTTCATTCATGTATTTTTCTTTTTCAATGATCGGTTTCCTAGGGTTTAGTCGGACGGCTTTGTACACAATGTCTTAGGGTTTCCTTATCGGGTGAGAGTGCGAGCTCTAATCCACATAGATTGAAGTTATATCTGCGTTGCGTTTAAAAGAATTCTGGAAAATCCTTAATCTAATTCTACATAATCTGCACTAAGAATTCTGGCATTGGATGAAATTGCATTTGAGTTTAGAAATTTGATTGTCAAAAGCATTTGTAGTGTGCGGTTCTTTTGTATAAGATTCTGCCAAGTTAGTATTCACGAGCATTTGAAAATCGGTGGAAATTGACTCTCTATAATGGGGTATATGTGTTGTCAGAGAGGCATGCACTTCTGGTTCGATTTCAAAGGAGCAAGGAAGTGCGTTGGTTTTGCCTATTGCCACATTTATCAATTCCTGTGATACGGAGCAGATTCGTTTGGCACCTGATAAATGTATTATTCTTTACTCTTTTATATTGGACTTGTGTAAATGTTGTTAGATTGCAACTCTGATTCCTACTCTTGTTGATTTGTTCTGTTTGTAGTCCTATCTGTTTGTAAGAGGTTCAAAGATCAAGTTATGGTTCTTGAAGAACCACTGCGGGGAGTGGCACCAATGTTGACAGCAATTCGGAAAATTCAGACCTCCTCAGAACATTTGACTTCCTTGCATCCAGAGTTTCTTCTTCTTTGTTTGTTGTCAAAATGCTATAAAGCTGGATTGTCCATTTTAGGTGATGACATTTTTGAGGTTGATCAGCCAAGGGATCTTTTTCTCTATTGCTATTACGGGTGGGTGGCTCTTTCTACAGAGTATTATCTATTTCATTTTGACACATTTTCTTTCATTTAAGTTAAATGGTTTTTAATTATTGAGAAAATTATGTTTGGTAGTGTTCTTTTTTTCATCTAACATTTCTTACTTCTATGTTTTATATGCTCTTGCATCTAGGCAACGCTCCTGGAATTCTTGTTTTAGAGTAGGCATTCTGTCATATTGTTAGAGCCAACTGATAGGATTTCATAATCCTATGTTTTGAGAATGAAATTTTTATTACCATTAAGATTTTCAGGGTTTGTAGTTTATTTGGTAATAGAATTTTAGTAAGAGAGTGAATTATAAATATCCATTTTAAGAGTATTGAAATGTCATATTTCTCTTTTGGTTCTTTGGACCATTAGAAATTTAAATATAATTAATTACTTTTAATTGATTAATTAAGTCAAGTAAGATAACACATTCTTGTTTTAAGAGTGTTATTCTGTTTCATTTGTTGTGGTTATTTACATTTCATAGCCTTACATTTTACTTGATTATTTATATGGAATATAGTTACTGATTAATTGTAAAACACTTATATTTCATTTTGAAAAGAAGACTGGAACTGATCCATTGTGTGCTAGGTGACAGAATCCACTTGAATAAGTTGAAGATTCATCAGTTTGATGATTAATGTGGAATGTCATTAGTCTTTAGAAGGCTTGTTAATGCTTCTAGCTTTGAGGATTTGGTGTTGCTAAGGAAGTTTTCTTACAATATTTCACCTTTGACATCACTGTAGGGGGATGATATGCATCGGACAAAAGCGTTTTCAGAAAGCATTGGAGCTTCTACACAATGTCTGTCATCTATATTCTATGTTTACCTCCTTATACTTTCTAAATTATCTGCTGTATTTTGAATTTTATATACTTGTCCATCCTAATCGCGAAACATATTTTCCAGGTTGTAACAGCTCCAATGACTGTTATTAATGCAATAGCTGTTGAAGCATACAAAAAGTACATATTGGCTTCACTCATTCACCATGGGCAGGTATGGCTTTTCTTCGCATGGATCCCTCCACTTGAAGTTTAATTTGATTTTGTAAGTCAATTCACACAACAGGGATACTATGGTTCGAAAGAGTCAATTTGCTTGGTTTTGATTTGACACGTTCATCTGTTTATGCTGTTAATAAATTTGAGGATAATCTAATGATTGCTTTATTCATGGTGACAGTTCTCTACCAGTCTCCCTAAATACACGTCATCAGTAGCTCAGAGGAATCTGAAGAACTTTTGTCAGGTTACGTTAAAGTTGAGCATGGCGCTTCACTATAGATCTATTTTCTTTTATAGGTTGCTTGGCCTTTGTGATATCTACATATTTAAGTTCTGATAATGTTAGGCTAGCACTTGAGCTGTAGTTTACCAGCTCCACTGACTTCATTTGGTTTTCAATCCTCTATTGTGCAGCCCTACATTGAATTGGCAAATAGCTATAGCACTGGAAAAATTGAAGAATTGGAGACATGTGTGCAGAAGTACAAGGAAAAGTTTGAAAACGTGAGTTCTTTATAATAGTTTCATCCTGTTGGTTTTATTGACAAATTGGATGCAATATGATTCTCTCTTTCATGAAATCTTTAACCTTCTTAACAAGGCTTTTGTATTGTGTTTTCCCTCAGGACAACAATCTTGGACTGGTGAAGCAGGTTATATCTTCCATGTATAAGCGAAACATTCAGAGATTGACTCAGACATACTTGACTCTCTCCCTCCAAGATATCGCCAACAGTGTTCAACTAAACAGCGCCAAGGAGGCAGAAATGCATGTGCTACAAATGGTAAATGCGGAGTACTAGCAGTAGAGTATTGGTATTCCAAATATTAGTATTGTACCCTAACTTTTTTCCTTTCTCAATTTACAGATCCAAGATGGTGAGATATTTGCCACAATTAACCAGAAAGATGGAATGGTTAGATTTCTTGAGGATCCTGAACAGTATAAAACCTGTCAGATGATTGAACATATTGACTCATCAATACAGAGGTAAATTGTTTGGTTATCAATTTATATGTTGGATTATTGCCCTTTTTTTGGGTCGGGGGCAGTGGCGGGTAGAGAGAGAGAGAGAGGGAGATAATCGTGAATACTTGTAGTTTATTAATGCTAACATAGCACTCTAATTCTTCATGATGCGATATCATTTAGATAGATGAAAGGAATATTTTTCCAGTGAAATATTACCTCCACATGTCAACTACAGTTAGTGACATGTTTTTTTTTTCTTTTTCTTCTTTCGATTTTGAATCTATTTATTTGCTCTCCATCCAGGATAATGGCACTGTCAAGGAAGCTGACTGCTATGGATGAAAACATCTCGTCTGATGCTTTGTTCTTAGGAAAGGTGAGTGTTGTTTCCACATTGTAGCAGAACTGGTTGTAAAGCTATTGATCATGTTAATCAAACAATCACCTGCATTAATGTTCAGGTTGGAAGAGAACGACAGAGATTTGACTTCGATGATTTCGACACTGTTCCTCAGAAATTTAACATATGAATTAAGCAGGATCACGCTGTATATCGACCTATCTACGTGAACTTGAGAATTGTGATGGCAAAAATGCTGGACCACTTGATGTTTTTTCGGCTCCTTATCGTGCAAAGAGATGAAAAAATTTCAGTGATTTTCTCCCAATTGAGAAGAAGATATACTGTCTAGTTATAGAATTAGTTTTGGTCATGTTTTGTATTAGCTTTTGTTTTGCTTTATTTTTTGATTGTTTCTTACAACGGTTATTTAAATAGCATGTCCAGAAAGATGCATTAGAGAGAGCTGAACCTATGCATGTGCAGTGGTAAGAAAATTAACAAGGGTATTGGCCTGCTCGGCCTATGGATCGACATTCGAGGCTTTACACCAAGAACATTTGTTATGTCAAACTATCTGGTTCGACAGACCCAGAAATTTCTTCCTCTTTGGGCTTAACCTTTTTAACACCACTGGGCCTTGTAATGTGGGACTTGGGATTGTATGCTACAGTGATTTGGCCCATCAACTCTGGGCTTCTTTGGGCCCCACTTCGTGCCAATAATTATGAGCCATATCCTGGACCCACTATTTTCACATGCTTTTAATAGTTTTTTCTAGGGGCCGAAACATACTAATTTCGGCCCGAAATTAGATTTAATAGGCCCATTCTGGTCCTACTTTTGGCCCCATTTTACTTTATTGGACCGACTCCTGGCCCTTTTTTAAATAACTCCCAAATTTGGGCCCTTGTTAGTTTATTGGGCCAGCATTCGGCTGCTTTTCTCGTTATGGGCAGCATTTGGGCCTCCTTTCACATTATTGGGCCGATTTTGGGTATGTTTACCTGTTATTGGGCCCCTTTTGTGCCTGTTTCCAAGTTATTGGGCCGCTTTGGGCCTGTTTTCAAGTTATTGGGCCTGTTTCCACGTTATTGGGCCTTTTGGGGCAGTTTTCACCTTATTGGGCTGCCTAGGGGCTAGTTTTCATGTTATTCGGCGAGTTTTCAAGTTATTGGGCCGCTTTTGGCCCTGTTTTCATTTTATGGGGCCTCATTTGGGCCTGGTTTCATGTTTTTGGGTCTGTTTTCACGTTATTGGGCCTACTTTTGGCCTGTTTTCACATAATTGGGTCATCTCTGGCCCTGTTTTCAGGTTATTGGGCCGACTTTGGGCCTATTTTCAAAATACAGGGGACAATTTGGGCCGGTTTTCAAGTTATTGGGCCTATTTTGGGCCTGTTTCACGTTTTTGGGCTGCTTTTGCGTCTGTTTTCAGCTTATTCGGCCACTTTTGGGCCTGTTTTCACATTATTGGGAATATTTCCATGTTATTGGGGCGATTTTGGGCCTATTTTCACGTTATTGGGCCTACTTTGGGCCTGCTATGATGTTATTGGGCTGTCTGGGGGCCTTTTTCATATTAATGGGCTGCCTTTGGGCCTGTTTTCACTTTATAGGGTCGACATTTATTTAATTGGGCTGACGTATGTATGTTATTGGGCTGAATTTATGCCCATTTTCCCGTTATTGGGCCGACGTATTATGTTATTGGGCTGACTTTATGCCTATTTTCCCGCTATTGGGCCGATTTCTGGGCCTATGTCCAAATTATTGAGCCGTGGGTAGGACCAGGGCGCAATATTTTGGGCCTACATTCTCAATATTTCCTCTATTCCGTCGTTCTGCCATCTCCAAAATTTCCTCTTTTGCTTTTGTTTTTTTTTTTCCTTGTGTTCATCCTCTCCTTCTTATCATCATCATATGAATTTTGGAGTCTTCAGTCTCTCACCTTCTTCTTCATCGTCCTCCCTTCACCATGAAAAAGAAAAAGTATAACACTCATTCTTCACTAACAGATTACACCAAAAAACAAGATGCATTGCAAAAGCAGACAGGCAGGCAAAGGGAACGAGGAATGAATGCATTACGGCTGAGGAGACAATGTTGTGAAACAAAGTTGCAAACTGGAGATTTACTTCAGGAAAGACAACAATAATGCACCAGAAAACCTAACTCAGAATATCAACATTCCTTTTTTTGACATAACTCCGGATACATTTTCCAAGAGGTTATGTTATGCTTTTTAAAACAAAAAAGTACAGCTAAAGCTTATGTAATTTGACATAACCAACCAACAACAGTAGTAGATTCAGTAATGTAACGCTCCCGACGGTAATTTGACATAACCAATGAACGGAAATTGACTACTAGCAGGCCTCACCCCTAATTCACCCTTAATTTTTCCATAATTTCATTATGTTTTCAGCGGACAGAGATGAAAACTGATATGTTTTCCCAAATCAACAATAATGCACCAGAAAACCTAACTCTGAATATCAACATTCCTTTTTTGACAATGAAGCACAGATACATTTTCAAACAGGTTATGTTATGTGTTTTAAAACAAAAAAGCAAAGCTAAAGCTTATGTGATTTAACATAACCAACGAACAACAGTATATTCAGTAATGTATCGCCCCTGACGGTAATTTGACATAACCAATGAACGGAAATTGACTACTCAACCCTAACAATGAACGGAAATTGACTACTCAACCCTAATTTTTCCATAATTTCATTATGTTTCCAACGGACAGAGATGAAAACTGATATGTTTTCCCAAATCAACAAAATAAGATGAAGAATACCTGCATTATGAAGATCGACAACTGCACCAATTGCAAAACCACAAATGAAGCTCCCGCGCGAACCTCTCCCCATTGCTATCCGCAACCGTCCCACTGAAACCACCAAACAACTTGGATGCCTCAGACGAACTCGAGGCCACGGCCCACAGATTTTCTCCACTGCAATAACCAAATCACCTCGCCATCAACGAGTTCCGCATCTTCCTGAAGACGGAGAGAATCGAATTCCTAGTTATCCTCTTGCAATCTAACTCCTAAAACTTCTGGCCCATTCGACTAGAACGCCATCTTCGAAACTGCGTCAGATCTGTCGATCATCTTCTGGCCGATACGGTACCAACAATTGGAAACCCTAACGAGTTTCGCAAAGCGAGACGAGCTCGTCTCGGTGATTGAGATTCGTAGATCATCGATCGGCGACTCCACGCAACTGTTGATTTCTTTCTCGACGCCGGTGATGAGCTCCGAGAAACGCTAGGAGTAGGTAGCGGAGAGGATTTAGTCATTGAGATTAGCAAAGAGCGACGTTGTAGTGCAGGTCGGTTCGGATCTTGATGAGCAGAGCAGAGAATACTGTTCAGCACACTAAAATGCAATACGCGCTCCGTTTGGTTTTAATCGAGGAAAATGAAGGTGACTCGGCAGTCTGCATGGCCCGGGACAGGCCCAATATTAGGGCGTGTTTACTAGACAAAAATGGGAATGCTCATTTGTTTACTAACGCTGGAATGAAAACATTGTGGTGAGGTAGGATTGGAGTAGTGTGAAACGTAATCAACATTGTAATATAGCAAGGTAAGATGAAATAACCTCTAAACAATTGATCAAGATACAATAATTTTTACGAGAGATTATGAAGCCAGTAATGTACATGGGAACACAATTGGATAAAGACTGGTCGGTCAATCTTTACGTCATTTACAGAGAATGACCCAGATTACATCAGCTACCAAAATTATCAGAGGCATCATCCTTCATACCAATTCTTTCTTTTCTCTGTTCCTTTTTTTTTTTTCGGTTCTTTTCCCCTTGAAAGCAGTTCTCTGTCCCATGAAATATAGCCACATCATCTGAAGAAAGCAAAACATGAATCGGGGGGAATATATGTTGTATAGTGTTGGGGGATTCATATTGTATGCTGACAAACAAGTGGAAAGAAATTCACAGTTTACTCTGAGTACAAATGCCCCATTATCTCCTCTTTGATGCCTGCTAGATTCCTTGCTTGCCTTATGCATAGCCCACTTCTTTCTTGGATCTACCTGCAAAAATAAATATTTTTTCAGAAAATCATATGGATTTGGTACATATTGATCTGTAAAACTGAAGTGGTCTGCATCTGATCAACTACAAAACCTTTTCCATTCTGAATGATCAACTATGAGCTTCCCTAAACAAATTTTTAAACTATGAACCAGGTTAGCGTCCATGAAAAAAATCAAAGCAAAATATTTAGTTTCGATGTTTCAAGCTAACTATCATGAAATCACATAGAGTATTTGCTTTCGGCAACACGTTTTATTGGAAGGACACATTTTGGCAACATGTGTCCAGTATAAACCCAAATTTACAGTTCATGCAAGCAAAAGATAAACAAGAGCACAGTTCAAACAAAAGATGTAGTTTCGTAGGTTTACAAAATTCTCTTCTGACTTCATTCCATATTGTATTATAACCACTAAATCCAATACTTGAATTTATTAGATTTCCCGTAATTTTGTAACATTCATTCCAACACCCTCTTCTCTTGCTTTGCCATATCCTAACAGATTCATGAAATTTCAATCAACTTACCCGCATTATGTTCTCCAATTTGAACTAAGAAACCCCAACTATTGCAGAGAAGTTCTGCAAGCAGTTCATCCCAATCAAGTATGAATGCAAATAACAAATAAGCAACACGCACATGAAAGGAACTTACGAGAGGATACCTTTTTATTTCAACGAAGGGGCATAAGGGGCTGGGCATGGAGATACAGTGTGATCTGGTAACTGGTTTATCAGATCAACTGCCACCTTCAGACATGCATGGAGCATTTTCTTTTCTAACCTAATAAGCTGTGTAGCAACTCGCTTCTTTGGATTCAAATTTGCATCTGCCAACTACAGAAGAGAGAATATTAATTGAAATTCAGTTAGCCATATGTTGGATCCCAACTAATTTCTAAGGGCCAAGATTACCAAAGACTCATCTTCACTCAATGTAGTTGGATAGCCAGCCAGCCGTGTTCTAAAATAATCAGCAAGTTGGTCCAACACTGCTCGTTCCATACAAGGACTCACCTATAAGTTTATAACATAAAGTATATGTTATACTAAAATTTTAATGTCAATAAAGACAAGAGACATTCACCAGTTAATCAAGTAAATTCCACATGGTTAGTTGAATCATTTTGAATTCCACGTGGTCTATAGACTATATGTCAATCACCAAATACCAGATACATAACCTCTGTAATTACATGATATAATACTGAATTGAAGATGATGGCCTTTGGCATGTTTGTTAAACCTTATCAAGGTTCTCAAACATTCTACAGTTTCATTCTCTTTTGGAGTAGTGCCATTAAATTCTTTTTTATGAAAATCATTTGCTGTTAGCCTAAAAGTGAACTTACCGGACAAATTGGGCCTTGAGAAGAGATTACAGACTGCATCTCTGAAGGATCTGAAACATAGCCCAGTCGCAGATAAGGAAGCATATCAAAGACCGTTTCCTTTTCCTTTCCCACATTTACCTGAAGCATGGGGCAGATTAAGTAACTAATGCAGGACAATCATGTAATAATTTTTTTTTAGTAAAATAGTTTCATGTACACACCTGAAAAGCTTGCACTGATAATTTTCCATTTCTTTGAGCAACCATTCTTTTATCTTGATATTGAGGATCCTCTGTATTCAAAGATGCCTGGAACACATAGGACATTTCGCATACTTAACACAGAATAGAACACTTTATTTGACATGAACAGAAACATCAAGCTTGTAATAGAAAATTTCCAGATTCTACCTCAACCACCAAACGGTCATAAGAATTATCTTCATCAACAAAACCATAGTTTATAAGCAGTTTTGAATTAGGCTGTGGTCCACACCTGCAATATTTTACCAAATTATGATTAAAGATACTACATTGCAGTAACGTGATAAAAAAAATGTTCAAAAAATCATCTCGTAGTTGTGGTAGTTATATACTTTTGAGAAATTTTAATAACATACCAAACACAAATAGATTCCCCTGCCTTATATGGGCGATCAACCACTAGTTGAACAGCACCATCAGTAGCCGTCAACATTGCCTTGCAGTTGCTTCTGTAAGCTAACAATGGGGGCCCAAGAGGAACCAAAGCAAATCTCTGAGCCAAGCTAACTTTCTGCATTCAAAAGGGAAGAAAAATGTAATGAATCCAGATGCTTTGACTTAGAAAGACATGGCACAAAGAGAAAAGGGAAGACAGGGAGCACTTACAAAAATACTTATAATATTTTCTTATCTTGCACAAGTTAATTGTAAGAAGAAAACATACTACCAAATGGAATGAAAAAACTTACCTGTAAATGTACTACGCATGACTGAACTGCAACAAAAGCTTGTTTGAATATCTCAAATGGGAAGGCCTCGGTAGGACTATCATATGGATATTGCTGCAAAATTCAAATAAAGACAACACATTAAGTCATATTATTGGCTACAGTTCTAATGCCGGTCAAATAAACTCGAGTATGACCTGAAATAGGGACCCAGCCATAAACCAGACAGTGTCAAGTTCATTATATTCCCTTTTAATTCCTTCAGCCCTTTCATGAACTTCAGCCTGATTCATCACCGCAATAATATATGGTTAAAACGTTTTGAATTACTATGTATTCCATCAACTTACTTGACAGAATGAACAGCAATCGTTGCAGGAATGATTTTACAACGGTTAAAGGAAAACAAGCATAAGATTACCTTTGTGGGGCTGCCTGTAAGATAAGCCAGTTCAGCTTCTGACCACAAAAGGGGAGATTCCACTGCTAACTGACCCCTCCCTCGCTGACGATCAAGCTCTCTTATATATGGATACCAAAAAGAATTCTTTCCTTGTTTCTTCTCATACATCAGATACAATGCCAAGCATGCCAATTCCGATAATTTGTTTGTAGTTAATAATTCCGCTGCATAGAGAATTAAGCAAAAAATAAAAATTGATCCTAGATGTTCATTGAAATTAATCACGGTATGACATGCCAAGTAAGCGACTTTCTCACACAGAGGCATAGAAGAAAATACACATAAATGCATGCCCATGTGCCATGTATTATGAACATTCATCTTAAGCAGCTGAACGAGTTCGTATTGGTCTGACCAAACATAATGAGAAAGTCAACAAAGAGTAACAATAAAAACAATGTAATTACCAATTGTTTCGTTTCCTAACACTCTCTTAAGCGTTACGACCAAGGAATCCGGCACGGAAAATGCAACATCGCCAACCTTGGGAAAAACAAAGAAAAAACAATTAAGTTCCATCAAGAGACTCAAAGAACAAAAGAAGCTAAAACCAACGAATTAAAGTACTGCAAATCCAGACTTCGTTCACCTGAAGATCTTCACTGGCAGCTACGTAATGAATGGGCCTGTGTTTCTCATTATGCGAAGGCTTTTCTTTGAGCACGACTTTGCAAGGAGGTAGCCCATTCTTGTGCATCCAAGATTTCAAGTCTTCCTCCGCTTCTTTCTTGCTGACAACCTGACTGTGCTTGCCGTCCTCTTTACGCGACCCAATCAAGGTCTCGGAGCTCGAAGCCGAGCACAAATTTCTTCCGCGAGTCGATCTAAACGAAGGTACAAGCCCGGGGCTCTTGCTGTTCCGAGCTGAAAGTGAAACAAGGAGAGGGCGGTGCGAGGACGAAGAACGAACTGGCGACGACCAAATGCATCGATTATGCAGAGGACTGACCTCCATGGCAGAGTGGTGGATTTTAGGGTTGGGATTTGAGATTTGCTATTTGAGGTTGAAGAATAATTCACAAAGAGAGTGAGGGGGAAGTCCGCTGTGAGTGTACAAAGCTAGGTTTTGACAGTTGTCGGGAAATGGGAGGTGAGGTGGGAATTTCAGATTTTTTCTGAGTGATTATTATGTGCGAGAGATAAGAGTCTGAGAGCGCCAAGGGGCTGAAAGGGAATTGACACCGTGAGTTCGATTGGAGGGAAACAAACGATACTTTCTTGTGGACTGACTGACCTACAACCTCAAACTATAAGCCGGAGAAAGAATATGATTTCACGTCAGTGTCGTATTTATTTCTCCCTTCTTACCAATCCACTTATCTTAAGTAATATGCATTAAAGATCTCAAAATCTTCTCGTCTAATTAAAATGATTAAGAACATTCGAACTTGGACGAGCTTCCAAGTTCCAACATGAAAAAAAAAAACATGTATTAGTCACGGACAGTTGCTCCTTTATCAACGTGCAATCAGAATGAAAAATGAACCGCAAATTTGATTTTCTCGCAGCTTTCATATATTGTGTACACAAGTTTATAAGTAAAATATCTCTTCAAGTTTCAACTATCTAGGTAAAGCGAAGAAAAGAAGAAAAAAATCAACAAAATCGACCCAATTTAAATACTAAGAAGGTGAATGAGAATCTAAAATAATTATACAACTAGTTGACGAGACAAAATTTGACTACAAATTCAGCTTGGTTCTAAACATATCTCCGACGACCTGTCTTGGCTGTGGATTATCTGGTCCTCTGTCCCGCTGCCCAGATGTAAAATACAAGTAACCGTTCCAGAAACCGGTTAATGTCGTTTTCACTCGGTAGGGAAGCCTTCCGATCACCGACCAAGTCTGTGTAGCAAATAAGTTGTTCACAAGTAAGATAAACACACTGTAATAGCACAATGCAAGCTTTAAAGATAAGTTGTAAATTAAGACAACATAATGCATGTTCCTTTCTGATTTTTAAAGTATTCTACTGATAGGGGTAAGCGAAGACTAATACCATGGAGTCCACTTGGAACCGGAAAACCTCCCCAACAAGGATCATCCTTTTGGTCACTGGGTTCTTTTCTGTTGTACCTCCAGCAATGATAATTGAATTGTTGACAATTACCCAAGAACACTCTATGTGAGAGTTGGGTTTTGGCATGGGAGGCAACACTTTCCATTTCATTTCACCATCCAGCATATAAGCATCCCCGTAAACCACCTGAAAACAGAACAACTGAGGCTATAAGAGACCATGTGAATATTGCCACTTCTTCTGTTCATCATGCCAAAGTAACTGTGGCTATGGTGACTAATAGATCAAGTACAATCGGAGATTGTGTTCTAATGAAAACACAATAATACCTCATGCCTACGTGAACATTTGAAAATTGGTGACCCAGGCTTGGGCATAAAATCACCCTCTTGACCACCAATAAGAAAGAGGCGATCATTCATCACAACACAAGCCCTGTTAGAAGATTGACCCTCACGGTGAGAAAACATTAAAACAAACCCACAGGATTTCAAGTTGCTGAGAGGAAAATTTTCAAGTGAATGAAATTGATGGTAAGACAAACAAACCTATGTGGTCCCCCATGGGGAATGGGTGCTTCTTTCCGCCACTCTTTCTCCAATGCTTTGCCATCCTTCACAGCAATACTCCAGTGATCCACACTAGGCGTATGGCGGTTTTCTTTGCTGCCACCCATCACATGGAGTCTGCCTCTCCAAAATTGAGTTGCTGGAGCATACCTGCAAATTATCATGTTAAATCCTATCATCTAATATAGGTGTCAAATATATGGATTACTTCACATAAATTTCAGCCACTAATATAACTCTAATGGAACTTCATTAGATCAACAGTTTGAGAGTCAAACGAAGAGCATTCTTGACTCTACTCTTAACTCTTTTAAGCATGTCAAAGAAAAGATTTGTTTCTTTCCCAACTTTTACAGCTACCAACAGTAGAGCACAAGGAATAACGTCAATAAGAAAATAGCAATTTCTGGAGTTTACATGGTCTGCAAAGTTATTTGATAGAAGGTAACCATGCAGATAAGAGAAGATATCATCTGACTCAGTAAACCAAGTTAAGGACTAGCATGTTAAGAGTAGATTGAGTAAAGAAAGATGAAGCAAGAGGTATAATGTATTTGTACAGTGTAACGTGCAACATGAATAACAGAAAACCTAACCAAATTAGATACCTGGGGGAAGGTAATGGAAGCATACTGCTCCATTTCTTTGTCTCTGTGTCCAGCACAAATATACGAGCTGTAGGCCCTCTGCATTGGGGACCATATTGTCCTGATACCACATATATGTATCTTCCATCAGTGGCCACTCCTAAATGCGAATGCGCCATCTCTTTTGGGATATCCAATCTTCCCCCCCATGTATTGTCAGTGAAATTATATAAATCAACATGAGAGTGCACCTATAACACAAATGCATAAGTGAAATAGTGAAAGTAAGATCACATTCAAACTATTGAATTGGTTTAACTTCATAAAGCATTCCAACATCTTATGACCACCAGTTATTAATCTAAAAGAAGAGCGCAATAAGTAAAATACAAAACTTCAAGCAAAATAGATGAAGGTGTTAATAACACCCTGCTCCAAAGTGCTCCAAACTCAAATTATACATGAATATCAGACAAGCAAAAAAGATAGACAAAGATCCTCACATGGTCAATTGTGCCATATCCTGCAAACACGTAAAATATATTCTTAATCTGTATTGAAGAGCCATCGAGACGAGGCACCGGTGCGGGCCTCATTTTCTCCCATGTTAACTCAGGTGCAGCTATATCAGCAAAAGTTCCAGATAATAATCTCACCGAAGCATGTTCCTTTTTGTCTTTGAAACTTCCTTTCTACATATAAGAAGAAAGTTCGTAAATCATAATTCATAACCAACCAGCAACTACCAAAATGCCAAACAAGAAATGCATTTGAATTCTCAATATTTCAATTACTTTGGGCTGAGAAAACAACATTTCCCCTTAACTGGATTGAAAAACGATATTCTGATATGTCTTCTAACATTCCGAAGTCCAAAATAACATAAAGTATAAGAGTAAACAATAAGTTATCCATTTTTTCTTAAAAATTTCCTGCTAACCCAGAGATTCCATAGGAAACAATATGCTTATATCCCCAACAAAAAAAAAAAAAACAAATTTCATAGAAAAACACCAGCACAAATGGGAATCTAAAAAATGGGCATTACCTGGTCAGCTTCATTGGCGGTGACATTTGGTACAACCAAGGTCCCAGATTTGTCAAGCGCCAAATTGGAAGAAATGAAGGAATAGGCAGAAGAAGAATAGGAAGAAGAAGCCCAAAGAAAATCTGCAACGAGGGCAACTCCGAGCAGACATGCGCAAGATGTGAGAAATACCCATTTTGCAGCAGAAGAAGAATGAGTGTGCTGTTGTGTAAACCTGGACATTTTTCATCCAAACCCATAACGCGGGGTAAACCATTTATAAAGATAAGAGAGTGCTTGAAATTGAGAGAGAAGAAAATAGTTGTACTGGAATTCAGAGGAGCAAAAGAGTTGGGCGCCAATGGTTTCCATTCACTTTCGCTCCATGTGCCTTAGCTTACTGTTTTCTGGCTTTCCTTTTCTAAATTAAAATAAATATTTGTATGGTATGTTTGCTATTTCCAATGGGTTTTTCTATAACTTAGACGCCCAACTGTCAAGAAATAAAATCAAGGGCAGGGCAGTACTCCGCATATGCCAACTGTTGTCTGCTCATGGACGCGTTTAACTCCGCACCGCGTCCATATTGGGCCCACACTGCACCACAGGCCTCGGTTCGGTCCAACTGTCTAGTCCTTTGTTCGACAATGGCCAAGCCCAATTTTCACAAATAAGCGAAGAGGGAAAAACAAAAACATCAAGGCACAATTAGGGCAAATCAGAACACGACCTTCCGGTTGACAAATAAATCAGAACGGAAAACCATTTTAGTAAAAAAATTCATTGTTTTGTCCTAAAAAACATATAAATATGATATCTTAATCACCTGAACTACACGTGTTTTACAATAATAAGAAAAATATTCGCTATCCATTACATACAAAATCTTAAGGTGAGTCCGAAACTAGCACATTATATATTGCAACTAGGTGATTGGTATTTGATGCTACTGTTAAATAAAATTTCTAGTACTTTATACCAATGGGATTGAAATGGAATAGTTTTGTTTCAGTTGGCTAATTGGCTAATGGAAACAAACAAATTAATAATTAATCAGGACTTAGAAAAGTAATGATTTTCAATCGAACAGTGAATAATTTGTTAAGATTTTGTTACACACACCCCGAAGATTTTGTTAAGAGACACAGACAGTTGTGTGGTATATATCTTTCCATGGTCCGGGATAAACGCCGGTACATTTAGAAAGAAGACTGATGAAGTCTGCTTCGAGAAGATCATAAAGCAAAAGTTGAAAAGCTAGAGGTGAACTTTCAATGATCCTAGAACCAATGTCTTATTTTCTCCATCATATGATTACAAAGTTGATCAGTGATTGAAAGTGCCTATCTTTGTCATGAAAAACAGGTGAAGAGAATGGCCCTTATAGCATTAGTTCAGCAATCAAAGAAACATGTGAGCTTACATGTGCAATGTAAGTGCCACTGCTGGGAAAGACATTTATCTCCTCCCTGCTTCCTCATGTGACACCCGAGCATCTTTACAGAAAAAGAGAAGAAACTAATGGAGATTCTTCGTTGAACATGTCAAGATGTTGCATGACGGTTGGGAATTCAAATGATTGCCGAGTATCCACTGCATGTTTGTAAATGCTGCATTGCTCAGGCTTTAGGTGCCCAAAATTGTGGGACTGTATCCATGTCTCCAATAAAGAAGGAAGATATAGAACTCGTATTTTTTTCATAAACCATATACGGAATGGCAACTTTTGTGTCTGCGTGCGTGTGTGTAAACCTTTCACCCGGTGATGCGTATAATGTCACAAGGTCTCTGTGCTTAAACAATTAGTAGTGCTTTAGCAAAGCATGTGAAAGTATTGTATGTGGTGGCTGTTCCTGGAAACTATAAGCATGTTTTGCTCACTGCTGTATGTCGATTACTGCAGGGTTGTCTAAGCACCTGCCATGTTCCATTACAGGTAATGGTTAGATGATCACGGCTATATAGTTTCTAGGAACATCTGGAAACCGCTTCAGCTAATGGAGATTCTACAGATGATTCATTTTTATTCTATTGTACAGAGAAATGTTTATTCTTTGTTCCTTTTGTTGCAGCC